GACGACGCACTATCGCAGTTAATTCACGGAGATCGTCGTTGCACGCTCTCTTGTATCGTTATCGAGGCACGCTTAAATTAGCTTCAAATCGTCGTCCTGTTGCTTTGAGATTATCCACTGATACACTCTTGTATCTTGTATCACAAAAATACTCGTATGCTTGCGCCCGAGTTTAGTATCAAGTTAATCACACGTTACTCTTAAATTACCGGCAACTTGTCTCGCCTTATCGCACCAAGATTGTTCGGCCCGATGCACTTTTTGTACATTTAAAGATATTTATACACTTCCACCTCTATGTGCGTGTTAGAGATCTCCCCAAAATTTATTGCACGATAAATTATGCTACTAGTAAATAATTCCCGCAAGTTGCTTTTATTCACAGCTTCCGCACAGTATCCATACTCTTTCTTTCAGTCGTTGGTGCATTACACAGTCTTCGAATAATCGACAAAGTACGCATTAAATGCGTCGCAGTCTTTTAATCCTGATCGCACGAAGAAATTCGCGATAAAATGTAGTTTTCCTCCTCGTTCCTTTATCGCATCTCGTCATTTTGTGTTTTCGGTGAAATAAAAAAAATCTATCTTGACAGTTTAATAGCTCGAGTGCACGATTTCGAGGTTCCTGATACAGAAAACTCGTTCGAAACTATGTTGCGCTCGCCTTCCACCGAATTATCTTGTCATCTCGTTACCTGGAGCAAGATGTAGATCTACCCATCGGTCTACCAACGAAGCAGTTTTGTACTTCGCGTTTCCCTCTTCAGCGTTAGTCGGGGATACTTCAGAATTTCGAAGGCCTTTGTATCTAAATTCTACTCACGTACGCTCGTGTACTTCTTCACCGATCTTGAAAAAGAGCGCGATGGTATATTTTAATAATTTAATACTTTAATCATTTTATATTCTTTTTTTACTTTAATCTCCTCGAAAATTTATTCCAACGTAATGATCGATGAGAGAAACGTGTTTGTCTTTATTGATAACATATAAATTCTTGCGAGTGGAATTTTCTGTTAAAGATCCAAGACTGCGTGTGTTTGGTCCACGAATTGTATGGCAATCTTTTGAAGGAGATAAGCGAAAACAGGCGCTTTATCTCGGATTGCCCTACATTTCCCGGAATCTTTATCTGCGACTGAGAGAGACAGATTCCCTCACCGCTTTCCGATATGTTTCTCTCTTCTCGGTATACACGCACAAATTTCAATTTTATCCTTCCGTTGCTTTATCTACTACATTTGCATCATGGGAAATTGTCAAAGTTAGCGCATGGTGGATGCGCTGTAATTGCTGCTGCTGCAAACGAGCAACCTTCTTTCCTCCGCACGCCGGATTTTGTAATTCCAAATAAAAGTCGCTTCTCTCTAATGGTAAAACTCCTCTAATGTTCCGCTAGTCGACGCGACGACTCGATTAATCGACCAAGAAAGAAAGTTACGGAGAAGCAAAAGAAGCTCGTTACGGAAGTGCGCCTTCGGCGCGGCGGTGATTTCGGTTTTGGAAAGCGTCAAATCGGCCACTTTCACGAGGCGTACTCTATTCGCCTGCCAATAACAAGCTCGCCCGCCTACGCTCTATAAACTATTGTTTATTTCCTCTTCTGCCAGAGTCGACCGCCGTGATAGCACTCGCGCGGTGAAAAGTCTTCTAGTCCTCCCCCCTCGCAGGCCAGGATTAGACTCGGTCCTCGCGAATCCGAAGACGTCACGAGATTCTTGATCTCGTCGGACCGTCGTCGTTGCACTCGCGCCGAATTTTGCACGCTGCTTTCGTCGCACTGCCGCGTACGATCCACGGGACAATCGCGCTAATCTTTCCCTCGCCTCGCCGTTTCCTCAGAGCGACGGCCATCGCTGTGAAGCAGCTCGCGTACGCGTCGCGATCACTTATCCCGAAGAGTTCAAAGCCATTCGAACGATCGCACGGCGAGTTAAGCGAGGCGAATTAGCTTATTTTCAAACGAAATGACTGTAGAGCAATTTCCTACGTGATCAAAGATCTATAGATCTCGTTCTCCAGTCCTGTTGCTTCGCAGGATGCGTCCGTTGGGGCTTCTACTCTTCGGCAAGATCTCATCAATCTACTTTATCTTCTCTAAAATCATATGGCGAACGGTGATGGTTGATCGTTTATTTTCCGCAATTGATGTCAATAAATTCAAATCCCACGTTACATTTGTTTCATCGTAAAATGAACTCGTCGCTCGTTCGAAATCATCTTGGCTGAGCTCGCATAACGAGAAACGCACGCAAATCACGGATGTATCAAATTCCCTGCGTAAAACCGCGCCACAAAATCGCCTCAGCAACGTCTTGGTCATCCGCAAGGAATAAGTTCTATCTCTTAAAGATCTTTCAATTGTAATAAAATCATGACGCGTATGCTTTTCTCGCTCGTTCAAAATTCAATATCTTATGCAAAATCCGCAAAAATCTTTCCTCAGAAGTTAACTATTAAAATCCTCGCGATTCTTCTTTTAAATCGGACAACTTGATGTATTTCATATTTAACACGATAAACCCCACACATTTAATTTTCAATATATGCCAAAATAGTTGATTGATAGATCGATTAAGATCGATTTTTTTTCTTCAAAAATAGTCGTAACTCAAAAAAATCAGACGAGAGAACGTTTGACGACACACGCGATCGGGCGTCCAATTTTCGGCGCCGAAATTCTGGCGCGGGCGCACTCTCGAATAATGAACGCGTCGGCGATCGTCGCGTCGCGGTCTCGATCACGATCGATGAGGATCGCAAAGCGACGCGGAAACACGTTTCACAGATATACGTATAGACGTATGGACGGACGGACGGACGGATGGGTCGCCGACTAGCCACCACCCACAACTCGCTAGTGACTGATTCCACCATAGCCGCATAATGTGCTGCTGCGGTATACCCCGGTGAGGACTATCACTTCTCCCACCAGAGAGCCCGGGACAGCCACCGTTGCGAAGCCACGACTTTTAACCGGGATGCATCGCCGCCGTTCGCTCGCTCGCTCGCGACGGGGTACGGCATTTCGGGGGACTCCCTTTTCAAGATTAATTCGAGAGATCTTGTGTGTTTCCGGACCTTGACTCGATTTTTTGTTTTTTAACCTCTCATATTCGTTCAGTGACAAAAATTAAAGAGACATATTAACACGTATCTCTAAAGTTCTTGATTCACGTCATGTCCGCTCGTCATAAGATAACGATACAACTGGAGAACCAGAACTTTTTTTATCTCAGGAGACCGCTCTAGTTTAGTGCAAGAAAAAAATAAACGTCCGCGTGTTTATCTTCGAAATTCTTTAGAATGATTTAAAATCCGCTAGAAATTATTCTTCGATTATCTTTTGAACTTTTCAATATATTATAAAAATGCAAAACGATTTCGGAACGATTACTTCGTATACACGCCTAACACACGCAACAATGAAAATTGATAAACACGAATGTCTGTGTCAGAACAAGTAGGAATGGTAATAGAAAGCAGAGCGGACGCGTATTCGGTCTTATCGCGCCGAAAGGATCACGTCGGGTCCGGCGGATTGGAAATTCACGGCGGTATAAAGAGGGTCGCGGGAGTGTGTTGATACGACGGGCGGTTGACATTTGCGCCTGCTTCGCGTGCCGAAGCCGCGCGCGGCAGAAAAGTGTTTTCGAGAAAAGGCTCTCCGTGCGCGCCGGTAAAAGTAACGCGCGGCGCCTTACGATAACGAAGCGTTTTCTTGAGCGACGTCGCAATACGCGGGCCCGCTCTCGCCGCGCGGCGCATATTGGCCGTGCGGCGGGCACACAGCAGCAGCAGCAGCAGCATTGTACGAGGCCGGGGTAGCGGAGAATTGCCTACCGTGTTATATATGTGTGGCGAACGCCGTAACTGATCCCCGGCGCTGCATCATTTCTCGGAACTGCGTCAATCAAGCGCGCGACACCCAAGTTCGCCGCCTGTGCATGTAACCGCACGGCGAAATTTCACCGCGATCGTTAACGCCGTAGCGGCTATTTTTGTCGTCGAACGTCTTAAGCCCGGTCTATAATTACGTAAGCGTAGTTGTAAGTGATGTAGTTGTAAGAACTGACCAATTACAGTCGATTATTCTTCTTGTATTCAATTGTGATTGGTAAATTCTTACAACTACAGCTACTTGCAACTATATTCTTACGCAATTGTAGACCGAGCTTTAAGGCCTTCAGGGATGTTCTACAATAAGCCGTTAGTCACTACTCATATCATACTAACTAAGAATTGACCAATCATAGTCGAATATTTTTCTTACATTCAACTGTGATTGGTCAATTCTTACGATTTACGGTTTACAATCTAACATACGACGTATTGTAGACAGCCCCTCACACATAAAATCCCGTAAGATCGTAAGACGTAGGCGTAAGAAAATCCCAATTGAGTAATTAGGTTGTCCGTAACCCTTCCACTCAATTGGAATTAGTCGATTTTCTTACGCTTACGTCTTACGACCTTACGAGATTTTATGTGTGAAGCCTTTCATACTGGACGATCTTTCCTCTCATTTCCCTCGCGTGATAACCGAGGGCTCGATACAAAAAAAAAAAAATGTAAACGCGCGCAAACGCATTCATGTAAAAATTATTTCCAGCTTCTACGTTTTAAGCGTGTAAGAGAAATATTTTCTCTTTAAACTTTTATTTAACGCCCCTTTCCGTATATATCATCAAGTGTTTACAAAAGTATACTAGCACAAAGAGCACACGTATATATATATATATATATATCTAAGACACAATTATACTTAAATATAGGTTGATTAAATGCTTAAAGTGGCTCATGTGCACATGCCTACCAATTTAGATTAACTTTAATCTCTCAATGGTTTAATTTTAACTCTTTACCATTTTCTAATTCTTATAACTTTGGAAAAGGATAGAAAGTAAGTTAAATCGAATTAAAAATTAAACTGTATAAGTAGAAATGAACGTTGATCCAGAAATTATTTCGTGCAAAATAAAGTGTGTTGTGACTCACCCTATATGGACAGCACTGCGCTTCTGTGCCATTTTGCTTGGGTCACTCCCTGTATGCAAAAAAATATACATTAATATGATAATAAACACTTTCTCACAAGACTTAATTTAGAAGTGTATGTCTTGCACACGTGTGTTTCAGAACTTGGATATAAAACTCAGCTGGCTGTTAGAGAAAAATCTTATTGCTCCGTTTTATTGAAATCTATATATAATTCTCTTGGGGGACAATTCTCTTTATGTAATTTACATTATTTCAAAATTTTTACTTTGCGATAAACGTTAACAACAGTTCAGTAACTGTGATTGCTGATGCAACTGTGTTTGAAAACCAATCATCCCAGACAGCATGGAACATTTCAGCAATATCGCAAACATTGTCTTATTACTGTACATTGTCGTATATTGCTGAGATATGTTTTGTGCTTCCTGGGATATTAATGTTGATCAATTTGTTAAATATTATAGCAAATTTTCTTTCCTCCTTCCAATCTTTAAAATCACAATTGTGAATCAGAAAACGATCCCGTTCGTCCGCAATAGCTTGATTAAGCAAAGGTAGTCGATTGCCTACCTTTGCAATAAACTCAAGGGCTACCGCATGGCACACAAAAAAACTTAGCAGTAAGCGTAAGCAGTAAGCCGTAAGCAGTAAGCGAATCGACTAATTACAATCGAGGACGTAAGGTTATAACGTAAGCAGTAGCAAATCCAACACATTGATTTCTTTACTGCCTACATCTTTTTTGCCTACTGCTTACGTTTTTTTGTGTGCGATGGCCCTTTATACCGTCAGCATCTGTGTCAGCAACGAACAATGCTAACCATGTAGCAGCTAGATTTTTATTTACTCCATCGCGCCCGATAATACAAAGGTGGCCGAGAGATCGCTATCTTACTATTCGGAATGAAACGAAAATCACTCCACGGCTTGCCCTTGCACTCCGCACGGCAAACTGGAGCAATTTAGATAGACCACTCTAGTAGTCGCGTCTGAATTGCGTGTGCAGTGCACGCTAGAGCGCAAAGGGATAGGGGGAAAGGGGGGGGGGAGAGAAGGAAATCGTAGGAAAGCGATCCTCTCCGTTTCCCCGGAGGAAACCGCCGCGAGTTTTCCACGCGGTGAGTAAGCGGTTTCCGATTTCGACGCCCGTCGGCCCCCCCGGCCGCGGGCCGACCGGGGAAACGCGGGCGGACCGTCGTGAAGCGACACGGTAACAAAACTCGCTGGCTGGTTTACCTGGAATAGAATGAGCGATCGAGGATACCGTGAACATTCAGCCGGAATTTCCTGTTGCCGAGATGCGACGGAAAAACGGTGCGCGCGGGGCGCGAGGGTATGTCGACGCGGGCGTACGGCGGCTTCCACACTCCGGACCGACATCAAAACTGGGTGTTTACACTTGGCAGTCGCGCCATTTTGGAGTTTCCACTCGGCTCCGGGGTTTTATTTTCACGCACGCACACGGTGGGGCCCACGGGGAGGAGTGCCGCGGGACGACGGAACGCCGCGCGAGGCGCGACCTGTCGGCGACGCGCCGCAAACCGATCCGTCCGCTTGGCGGCCGGATTTGACGATCTGTCGATACGGCAGAAATCTCTCGCGGCCCCGTGTGAAGCCCGTGAATTGCCGTGAAATTTAAACCAAACACGGATACGTCGATACGATCGAGACGTTCTTAGGTACGCGAATTCGATAATTAAATTATTAAATCCGTCGACAAACGCGTGTACTATACAACGTAAATGCGTACCGACGTATCGATCAAAATGACGCACAGCTCGTCCAGAATTTTCATTGGCCGCGTTGGCGCGACCGCGATACGGTAGATCGCGTGATCCAGTCGGTGCGTCATTGAAAGAGATTCGTTTGCATGAGCTCATCGTTGCGGAGTATTCCTCCCATTGCGCGTCTGCCAAAAAAATGTATTAAATAATAATAATAAATTTCGATGATTTACATTGAAGAATCGAAAACTTGACGGGACTCATATCTATTCCGCAGTTCGCACGCTCGGTATATTTCCGTGCCGCCGTCAAACAACGCTCGCTCCCATGCGAACGCGCCCATCCGTAGCCGCGCCGATTGGCGAGTGTGTGCCCACTCGCGACGACGCCGCGTATAGCGCCCCGCCGGTAATACCTGCGTCTCTGGCCGAGCGATATCCTACTACTACGCCACTTCCGCTCGCTCGCCAGAGAGCAAAATGGACGCCTTTGTGTCTGTTTTCTTCGCATTCCCACTATAAATACGGTTTACGGGGCGACGCAGCGCCTGCGACGGGGCGATGCTCGTGCGGCGCCGCGTGAAACGCGTGTGAGGGCAGTGTCGTGCTCGCGAGTCGTGACCGCGGCCCGCCGTGGCCGACGTGGAAATCGCGTCCAACCAAGTAGGCCAAACCGCGGTGGCCCGCGGATGACAATTGAGCGAGCATCCCCCGGACGACGGTGTTACCCGCGGCGAGCCTCGCGACTGGTCCAGCCGACGCGCCGGCCCGCACGACGTGCCTGAGGATCCGCCGGACGGCCGCCGAGTGACGCGGAGCAGCGATACGGCGCCCGGCCTCCCGCCAAAACCAGCCGCGGACGGAGCGGACGGGCGACGTAAATAGTCCCGGGTAAGCGGAGCGAGCCACGGTGCTGTCGCGCCGCGCGGCCGCGGCCGCGTCCGCGTCTCCCCGCGCTACGAGGCGCCCGCGTCCCGCACCACGCGACGCCGCTTCTCCCCGCGAGTGACCCGGCGTATTCTCGCCTGCCCACCAGAGTTCAACGTTCATCGTCCGCAGGAGGATCTCGCGCTTCCCCCTCCTCCCCCCCTTCTCTCTCTCTCTACTTGTACTACTCCCCCTTGTGTTGTTATACCTGATCGCGTGGTCGCTTCGTGGATGTGCACAACGTTGGATGGTAGACGTTTTATTTTGAGAAGGTAAAGGAATAATGCTGTGGTACATGGTGATTGTTAATGTTGGTATGATCTCTGGAAGCAAGTGGATTCAGATTGATGAATAGTCATGGAGCACCCTACTAATGTGCAGTTTTGCTGTGCTACTGGAAATACCAATTTGTTCATGTGCATCAGCTGATCATATTGCAATTCTGTTCAACGACCGGTTGTTTTTATGCGAATATGTAGAAATTTTTTTTTTATGAGAAATTAACAACCCAATTTTTCCAGGAAGGATTTTTCAATGCTTATGTTTCGAATGTGCCCAGGTGATGATTCGTCATAGGTTTATTCTACAAATGTTATTATATGACTTGTATAAATTTAATGTATGCTCCTGTTCTACTTCGTAAAATGCACAATATATTTCTTTTGTGTATTTAAATTCCGTATAGCAGTAACTTAAAAATTTGAGAATAAATTTAGCTTTTAAATGATAAAATAATTCAGAAAAGAATACAATTTTGGTTTTTATAAAATATATATAAGATAATTTTCAAATATTTTAAAAAATTAAATTTGATATTCACACTTAAATGAGAAAATATTTGATTATAGCAATGTGAATTACATGTAAAACATTTTAATTTTAGGTTAGTTATTTTTATTTACATATATTATTTAATATGCATTGTTTTTATTTCAGCGTGTAATTTTTATTTATTCCAGCATTTCTTCTATTTTTATTTTTATAAATATTTAATTTTTTTAAAGATATTTAAATACAATACATTTGAAAAATGGCTATACAGATCAAATTTTTGTTGCAGGATAACAAAGTGCAGATAAACATGGATCGTTTATTGGAGGATCCACTGGCTTCGTCAAAATTTGGTTGAAACTTTCATTTTGCAACATGGGAACTTAAGAGACTTTGTCAAGTTCCCAATATTTGCCTTAGTGCTAGTGTGTCCTTCAACGAGGATTAGAGACTGCTCCGGTCAACGGTGAAATATTTGTGTCAGTATGTCTTGAAATGCGTGTGAGAAAATTTTAACAATGATTTATTTAGACGTTCGTGGAAACAGTGCATTTAGATATGTTCAGTTAATTTACATTTACTGCATATCGTAAGCAAGTACTCTTAGCATGCCTTTGCAGTGCTCAGCATATTGTATTGTCCCACAACGCGAGGAAACTTAGGAACACTGAAACTGATTTTGATTTTCTTTTTTTTGTCCAGGCTGTAATGCCAGAACGAATGAAACTCAAAATGAATGGGGTTGTACCGAGTGTGCCAATAACTACCCTCGCTGGTATCGCGAGTCTCACAGACTTGTTACCCGAAATGCCCCTACCGACTCCGCTGCCACAGACTCTGACTAATAAGTCGCTGCTGTTTCATCCACGAGTGGCAGAGGAGGCGCAGATATTGCTGAGCGTTCGCGACGAGAATCTCGTGCCGCAATTGATAATGTCACTGTCGCAGACGTCGTCGGAACACATTGAACTCAAGGACAATTATCCGAGTACCGAGCAATCGCTGGAAAACGAGCAAAACACGCCTGAATTGCTCAAGGCGATCTTGCAGATAAACCCTGATGTATTCAGAGGAACCCAGCACAATTCTCCAAGGAACTGGACGCAGGCTATGCCTATGCTGCACGCGAATCAATCGCCGGCGAGCTATGGTCGTTTCTCGCCGTCCTACTCGAGCTCTTCGGGCTCCAGGCAAACGCCCCAAGGCAGCCCGGCTCATTCTGCAGCAGCCAGGTCATCTGTACTTCCGCCACCGATTGCCAGCGGCATTGCTCACGCGCAACACCCGCGGATGCCGATCACTCCGCAGAATCATGCGGACATCTCGCAGATGTCTCCTTTCGCCGTGCCTTCTCCGTCGCCCAGAGGCAACGTTATGACCGAACAAACGAGAACGTTGACTACGCCCCAACATATGCAGGAGGACACGAACTGTATAAATCCCCTAGCGAACGTAACTCTTCAACCCAACATGTACTCGCCGGCTCACATGAACTCGCCCAATGCACCGCTGGCATCTATGACCAATATGACACCTCAGCATAACATGGCTGGTATGACGCCGCAACACAACATGCACATGACATCCCCAATGCGTAATGTGCCTCTGCAACAACATTCAGCCATGGGTATGCAGCAAAGTCTTTACGATTCAATGATGAATCAACAAGTACATCATGCATTAGGTAGCGGTCAATCATTGGACATCGATAATGCAGTGCAGGAGAATCAGCAATTTCTTCTCGACCCAGTAGCCGGTCTTTCCGATCTTGACCTACCGATGGAGAACATCGATACGAAGCAGAGCGTCGATCATGCGATACAACATTTATTACCGACTTCTCAGACCACGTCCTTTCCAAATATACATGCCGCCGATATGGTTAACGCTTTAGATCCGGCTGCAGCTAGCATGGCGCCTAATGTGCAACATCAACAGAATAATAATTCGGAGAAGAGTATGAAATTTGCCGGGACGGAAAAGCTGAAGGAGCCCATAGTTATGTTAAACAGATTATCGTTGGCCGATCAGGCGCTTATGCAGAAAAGTCTGGCGGCGTTTGCAGAGAAGTCGCCGAGTCGCGCGGCGAAAATGGGCATTTCCAATCGTGACGAGGCGTCAAAAACTGACTCCGAGAGCGAGGAGGAGGTCGGCAAGAACAACAAATACTTTAAAGCTCGCGCAAAGGAGCGGCAGGTGCAACGAGAGAAGGAGAAAGCGGAGCGGCGAAAAAGCGAGGACAAGGGCCGCAGGCGAAAAAGGATAGTGGACGACGACGAGGAAGATGATAAACGAGATGCGTCGTACTCGCCCACGAAACCAAAAATACGCAAGATCGAGAAGAAGTTAGTGCCTGTGTTAGCCAAACTGAGCGTCGAGGAATTAATGGAGACCAATACTTACCAACGATTTAACTCTACCATAGAGACAATCTTCGAGAATACCGAAGACATTATGACGAACGCCGATCTGGAGGACGACGGCGAAGTGCTTGCGGAGATGCTTATTCCCAAGTATCAACTGCACGATCTTTGTACGGAAGCGGCCAAGCTCAAAACATTGGGCGCCATGGAATCGATACCTACAGATAAATTGGTGAGGCTGCTGAACATCTTGGAAAAGAACATACGAGATGGCGCGAGGGTGTCGCCGCTCGTGGATCCGGACGATGACGTCGATGAAGGACGATTATGGATGCAACTGGCGATGGAACGGGTGCAACGTGCCGTGGATGCGTCGTTGATCGCGTTGCACATTATGACCTCTAGCAACATGCCGAAGACAGTCTACTTGGAAGATGTGATTGACCGAATAGTCCTTTTCATGAAGTTTCAACTGCAGAACACGATCTATCCTTCCTTCGATCCCGTATATAAGATAGATACGAAGAACAAGACTGACAATTTTAATTCTAGCGGACGCAAGAAGCGAGGACATACGAAGGAAGTGCGGGAGAAGAGTATCCTGCAGCTTTACAATAAGATGCACGAGCTGGTAGGTCTGCTGGCCGAGCTGTTGAACATACAGGTTCTAACGGACACGAGTGTTCTGCATGCGTCATCATTGGGCGTCGCGCCGTTTTTCGTCGAATCGGTGAGCGATCTTCAATTGAGCGCATTGAAACTCGTTACTGTAATATTCACAAAGTACGAGAAGCATAGGAGATTATTATTGGACGACATCCTGGCGTCAATTGCGAGATTACCGAGCAGCAAAAGAAGTTTACGCACGTACAGACTCAATTCTGAGGATTACATACAGATGTTGACCGCGTTGGTCCTGCAGCTTATCCAATGCGTGGTGGTTCTGTCGGATTCCAAATCGAAGGACGACGACGAGAAGAAACCCAGTCATGTAGACGCCGATGTCTTCATTATTAACAGATACGAGACCGCCACCAGAATAGCTGGGAATTTTTTAACGGTATTTCTTAACAAATGCGGTAGCAAAGGCGAGGAGATCGATTACAGACCATTGTTCGAGAATTTCGTTCAAGACTTATTAGCGACGGTGAATAAACCCGAGTGGCCCGCTGCCGAGTTGCTGTTAAGTCTTCTCGGAAATCTGTTAGTGGGACATTTTTCCAATAAAAGCTCTGATATGTCGCTTCGCGTAGCCTCCATCGATTATCTTGGCGTGGTAGCGGCCAGATTGCGCAAGGATGCAGTCAATTCACAGTGCAAATTGTCAACCATTGATCAAATTATACGAGACATTAAACTCGAGCAACAAAAGGACTCGGACTACGATCAGATAAAGGACAAAGAGATCGTAGGATTGAACGAGGACGAAGAGAGGACCGTGTTTTTGCAGAAAGTACTCCTGGATTATCTGGCTGTCAACGGGACGAAAGATCCGGCTCTCGGATACGCGCGTCATTTTTACCTAGCCCAGTGGTATCGGGATTGCGCGATGGAGAAGTCCCGGGTGGGTCAGTCGAAAAACAGTCCGAGCAAGAAGATGCACAAGAAACGGACGAAGAAGAAAAATCGGCATCACAACAGCGATCAAGACACCGAGTCCGAGTTGGACGAGCAAGATCCAGACGAGAACGACAATAACGAGCAGAAGAACTCTGAAGCTTATCGAGTTATAGAAGAGAAGAAGAAGTACATTATCAGTAGAATAAGACTGTGCAGCACAGGAACGAAACCGGATATCCTTCAGACGTACATCGACTACAACTCCGCGGAGCTGATCTCGCAATACCTCGCGTCTAAGAGACCGTTCTCGCAAAGTTTCGATAGATACCTGAAGCAGATTCTCCATGTGCTGACAGAATCGTCAATTGCCATCAGAACCAAGGCAATGAAGTGCCTCACGATGATTGTCGAGGCTGATCCGAGCGTGCTGGCAAGAGTGGACATGCAGCTGGGCGTGAAGCACTCGTTCCTCGATCACTCAACGTCAGTGCGGGAGGCAGCGGTTGACTTGGTAGGAAAATTTGTATTGAGTAGACCTGAACTGATTGACAAATATTATGACATGCTGTCGGCAAGAATCCTGGATACTGGCGTGAGCGTCCGAAAACGCGTTATCAAGATTCTCAAGGACATCTGCATGGAGTGCCCAAATTTCCCCAAAATCCCAGAAATATGCGTGAAGATGATAAGGAGAGTGAACGACGAAGAGGGCATTCGGAAGCTCGTCATGGAGGTTTTCCAAAATATGTGGTTTACCCCAGTAAGAGAGCGCCCTACTCTCGACTCAGAATCGTTGTTGAGGAAAGTGATGAACATCACGGACGTTGTAGCAGCCAGCAAGGATATGGGACTCGAGTGGTTTGAGCAGCTTTTGGTAAGTTTGTTCAAACCGAAGGAGGACAAGGACGACAGCACAAAAATGCAGACGGAGCCGCCGCGGGCTTTGCTGACAGCGTGCAAGCAAATCGTGGACTGTCTGATCGAGAACGTTCTACGGTTGGAGGAGACAAATCTAGATTCGGAGAAATCGGAAAAGAAAGGCTCGTCACAGAGGTTGGTCGCGTGCCTGACAACGCTCTATCTGTTCGCGAAGATTCGGCCTCGATTGCTAGTAAATCATGCAATCACTCTACAGCCTTATCTGAGCTTGAAATGTCAGACACAGGGCGACTATCAGATTATCAGTAGCGTTGCACATACGCTCGAATTGGTGGTGCCTCTGATGGAACATCCCAGCGAAACTTTTTTAGCACAGTTGGAAGAAGACTCGGTGAAGCTGATCTTACAGCACGACAGATCGGTGGTCGCAAGCTGTCTATCGTGTCTAGGCTCTGTAGTTAATAATGTCACGCGAAACTACAACCTGATACGAGACTGCTTCAAGAAATACTATGGACACTTAACAGATTACAAATCGTTTTACGAGAAGGATCCAAAGAATCCCTCGCTAATAAGGTGCAGGCCGTTCTTCCGACGAGCACTCTTCACGGTCGGCTTATTGCTACGTCACTTTAACTTCATGGATCCAGAGGTGATAGAGGGCCTGGCGGACAATATCAAGGATCAGGTCTTCGAAACACTTAGTTATTTCGTTCATTTGGATAATGACGATATCCGACACTTTACGCTGTCGGCCATTGGTTCTCTTTGCATACGACATTATGAGTTTATGATGTTGCCGGAATTGAAAGAGCTCTATCATCATTTGCTCACGTCGGAGTACGCATTGGTCCACATGAGAATCCAGGTGCTCAACAACATCGAAGTATATCTGCAAGAGGAAGAGAAGAGGATGATCAAGCAGGATTTAGAATGGGCAAAATTGTCTAAACAGGAGAACTTGAAGGAAATGGGTGACGTATCGTCAGGCATGGCGAGCACTGTTATCCAGCTCTATATTAAAGAAATTCTCGAGTCTTTCCTACACGTCAACGTAAGCGTACGACATGCGGCCCTCAAAGTTATTCAGCTGATCCTGGCGCAGGGTCTGGTACATCCCGTCCAGATAGTGCCCTATTTGATCTGCATGAGCACGGATTGCGAGAAAGTCGTGAGCCACAGCGCGGATAAGCAATTGCAGGATATCGAAAAGAAATATCCCGGCTTCATCCACATGAAGTCGCAATTTGGCATCAAATTGAGCTACCGGCTACAGAAAATTCTACAGAATGACATCACGGTGAGGGGTATGCGAACGAAGGAGGGCGAATTCCCGGGCGCACTTAACGGTTTCCTCTATACGATTCTACGTAACACGAAACAGCAGAGGCGGGCGATCGTATTGTCTTTTCTCAAGCACTTCGACGAGGCTGCTAAAACTAGTCTGTCGCAGATGCTATACTTGGCGGACAATCTCGCCTACTTTACATATCAAGTACAAGACGAACCTCTTTTCATCATTCATCACATCGACATCATTATTTCTATGTCTGGGACGAATCTACTACAGTCTTTTAAAGAGGCTCTGCTGCCTAAAGAGGGCAGTGCCAGGCATATGTCGGGACAGCCGGCCGAACAGCCGATTGGACAGCCGATGGGACAACCGATGGGACAACCGATGGGACAACCGGTGGGACAACCGATGGTGTTAGGACCAGACGGTCAACCAAAACCCGTTCAGTTGTCGACTTTGGAGGACGAAGAAGATGATGAAGAGGACGAAGAAGCTCTTTTGGCCAGATTGCCAGGCAATACTACCTTGCTCAGGGAGTATATTACCGCCAGTCAAGGCTTTTTACTTTTATTAACGCTTCGACAACATCTCAAAGATCTTTATGGGTTTTCTGACGCAAAGATCGGCCAATATTCGCCGTCGGAAGCGGCTAAAGTCTATGAAAAGGCAGTGAATCGTAAAAATAATCTGCTCTTTGAACCTAAGGCCACGTTGCAGAGGCTAAAGGAGGGTGTGACGAACGTCAACGAACTGGACGCGAACGGCAGGAAGAAGCTCGTGAAAGAGTACCTGGACTTCAAGCAGCTAATGCTTAAATTTGATCCTGAAGAACCGGACGATGATGGTGGTCACGATGCTGCCGACACCAGCGGCGGTGGTAAGCACAGTGCAGAGAATCCACAAACAGCGAGGATACCGCAGCATCCCGAAGCTGGCGGCGGTAGGACGATAGCAGACGGTGTCGTTGTGGGAGATGCCAATGCTCTTATCGCGGCTGGCCAGCAGCAGTACCATTTACCATTGCAATCGAATCTGACCGCTCCGATGGAGCATCCGAACAATTCGGTAAACTCGTTGCCTGTTATGGCGGCAACGGCGACGACGACGGTCGCAGCGACACCGGCGACGACGCCCCGGGTGCCGAAGCTAACGATACACACCCATCCGGACGCGAGGGAGTCACACCGGAAGCACCGCGCACACAAGACGGACAAGTCGGTGAGGAAGCACAAGAAGAAGAGGAGGAGAAGAATCTCCGATAGCAGTGAGAGCGGAGAGGACTACAGTGACCCTGACTTCCTAGTGTGAGTGCGGTGGTATATCTCGTCCTGTGTGTATATATAAAAATATTCTCGCGATGATGTGCGTGTGTGATCGGTCGGCTGGAATGACTCTTATTCCATGTAGCCAAAATTTGGACGTCATTGCGACGCGATTGACCCTTTCTCATGTCACCCGAGACGACTCTTTTTTTCCCCAGATCATCAAAGTTGAGATGAATTCGAAAACGGTTCCGGCAAAGGTACCGTTCCGTCAGGAAATTGCATAGAGACTATAATTGCTATGTGGGAATGCGTGTGAGTGAAAGAGAGATCTTCAATAGGAATGATAGCCAGAGATTTTTAAGCGCGATCGAACGTTGAGGTAGGATTAGCGTGTTGTTGGCCGAAACGGCGGGCGTCTGCGAGGTTTATCGATCCGCCATGCTGTTGTTAGCGAGATCGGCTCGTTAAATATTTCGTACGACCGACTCGGGAACATGGTTCGTTCAAATTAGCTTTTCCTTCTTCCCCGTCGAAGTACGCCATCAATACAGTCATTCTTGACAAGCGAAAGCTTCTGGTGATTGTTCGATTCCGTCGAAATGGCGCAAAAGGCGAGAAACATTGAGAGCCATTATCCGAAACGATACTACGAACCAAGTTCTCCGAAAAAAAGTCAAGTACAATAAACTACATTCGAACAAAATTCATTTGTAAATAATGTCACGTAAAAACGATAATTGATTAATTTCATTTTACGGATGAAAGAAATTAGCAAAGAGGAAAGGACTACAAAAATTTTAAGCAGTTTAAGCAATATCTCTCAATTTAATTCGTCATTACATTCTTTTCTTTCCAGAGTGAAGCGCTGCTTATTTCGATAATGCTAACTTATTAATATTTAGACATTTTATTTCGATAATTTATAAATGAATATTTAAAATTCGCTGCGTTTGTTCCTAAGTTTGATAAAACTAAAATATATGATATGTAAGAGATATTTCTGTTATGATTACAATAATATTTAATACTAATATTTGCAATAATATTTTAAACTTTATTTATAAAGTAGAAGGAAAGGAAAATAAACCGCAAGGAACGTTTGATAGTACAACAATAAATTTAACAGAAAAATAAACATAAATGGTCTAATAATAATTTGATAGATTATTTATAGTAAAGAATTTATTATAACAAAGTTTGATTGCAAGATGTTTTAGTCTCAATATTTATCTAGCGTTAACTAAAATCTACTATACCATCTGATTGAAGTTATTATATTAAGTATTTAGTTATGCAATATATTCATTTTATTTATATATATATATATATATATATATATAGATACGTAAATTTTTAAAGAATTTTTTTTAACTCAATATAAAATTTATCTTCAGAAAAAAATGGTGATATTGAATAAGTACGTTAAAGGAATATAAAGAAAATCTGATGTTTAATTTTGAAGCATATCGAAAGACTTTAGGTCAGTATTATCGATATAAGCGGTAATTACTCGCCTTTTAAGGAGCGCGATACCAAATATTGAAGGTCCACAAAATTTGACAGACGACATGAATCGAACTTCGATGGAGGGCGGATTCGTATAAATCCTCCCCTGCAGTATGTATAATAATAGAGTAGCAGGACGCAATTGCCTATGCATTACGAAATGTTGTTTGTAATATCTGTACATAAAAATCTTCAAGTAAAGTATCTTATTTTCTTACAAACTATATAGTGGTGACATTTTACGAAGAATACTTAAGATTTTGTTGTAATATTAAGTATTTATTCAGGATTCATGTTGTCCCAATATAGTTTGCTTCATGCACTCACTCGTCCTTGGTGTACGAAACGACGAAAACGATTAAAAAAAAAGGAAAGGAAAGAACAAACAAAACGGTATCGTTTTTTTTATACAAGCTTATAGAGGTAGTGTGTGTGTATGGCGTACTCTCTCGATGAAAGCGTAAAGCGGAATCTATTGGCGTAAGACGACAGAGAAATACGAAAAAAAATTCAAAGTGTACAAGTTACTCGAAGGACACGATTCTAAAATATGAGTCATTTGGGAATTCAAAAGCTAAAAAGAGTTTCAGCAAATTTGTTTAAATATTTGTAATCCGTAAAAGATACAGCTGATATCCGTAAAAGATATAGCTGATTAGTTGAGAAATCACTAATAGGATGCAATACTTACTTTAAAAAGCGATAAAATTTTGCAGCCGCTATATTCTACAGAACTTTTAGAAACGAACAATTTTAGAATCGCATCCTTCGCTTTCGACTTCGTTTCCATTGTTAACGTACAGCAGCCGCTCCTGCACTCGAAGAAGAATATCACGATTTGTCGAACAATATATGACAATATATAAATAAAAAATAAGTCTTTTTTTCTAGAAATTTAAAATTAATACTAGATTCAAGAGCAATTGTGATTTCGAGAAGCGTAAAGAAATTATATTGATGAAATTATATTTATTTGATTATTTTTCTATTGCGATTAATCTTTTTTTTTTTTTACTTTCATAACTTACAAATATATAGATAAAAAGAGAACGAAGCAAAAAAAAGAGACAAGGCATCGTCTCATTAATTTTCCTAGCAACAGGAAATAGAAACGCGAAATAATGGTTGCCCGACTAAATCAAATTCGAATAGTTAAACGTATTTATTTTACTATCCATCGGGACTTATAAGATACCACGAATATCGATTGTCAGAAGTAATTGTGATTTATCTTACAATTGGCGGAGCGCTGCATGTCTTTTTGGCTTGGAAACGAAGACGGTAACGACGACGATCAAACGAACGCTTCCGTTCTGGAATGTTCCGGAACCTGTTTTTTTTTGTAACGAACGCTTCGAGGAATAATTTGCTGGCGATGCTTCGTTAGCACACATTTCACAGTAATTAACGATTACACAGAGCCTTCATATTTTCCATAATATCCAGGGAAAAAGTTGAATGGATACAAGTACGCATTCAGAGAAATGAGAATGTCGATTCATCATATTATTTCTTTAATTATATACTTCGTCTCTTTTGAAAATTTATATTGAGAGATTTTTATTACTTTATATATAATTTTACATCTTAATTTTTTTGTAATCTTTATTTCCTAATAAGGAAAAGAAATTAGAAACGAAGATTAGAAGGAAATTATTAAATTTTTATCTATATATATCGCGTGGAGTATTCATTCAGTTTTATCGCTATGTCTCTCAACTTTTCTCATTAAAAACAGAAAACTAATTTATAGCTTTTGATTTTATATAAAATTGTTAAATTTATTACAATTCTGTCAGATGCGATTTGTGCGAACTTATCCCGTGTCGCGAGAAAGTGTTAATCGATTATTAGCGGCGCGATGCATTTACATTCGATTATGAGAGACTATGCGCAAATTTTCGTACTGTTTGCGGATTTGATAACTTTATTGACGAACGTAAGATCTCAGCACATTCTCTTACTTGATTTACGATTAAACTCGCGTTCTATCGAGGCCCCAGATGTACACCCGTCTATATCACGTCAATAAATCTGACAGTAAAACGTGTGTGAATTCATTCGTTTAGCGTTAAGGATACGCGTTGACTTTAGAAGCGCACGTAGGAATTTCGCCCCGGGGGAAAAAGCTTTTGTCACACACGCTATCCGCTTTTTTTTTTATCTTTCTGCTTCTCGAGATTCGAATATTTCTCGTGCATATAAAAATTGGGTAAAATTATGTGATTTTTGCTTAAGATTAATTTTCATTTTTATGAAATATTTTAATAACTAGGCTATCTGTGTAGCAAGAAATCTGCCTATCTGTCGGATGTGCGAATAAACTCGGGCCACGTGCGTTTCTGACGTGTAGATATTAGTGAAATTCATTTATTAGACGTACTGAATTCTCTTAGAAAACAGAAAAAAAATACTTGTCTCGTTTTTTGATAGAAATTCGAGATGCTAAATACTATATAGAAGACTGCAAAACACCAGATTTTTACGAACGACGATTCTCGAATCCAGGAGAAAGCAAAACGCGAACCGTAATATATAGTAATCGTTGCGCGTTGTTTCACACGCAACAAAAATCCCGCACAAAATCATTAGTCGTAAAATCGTTTTCTCGATTTCTGAAAATTGAAAATTTGATTTTACGCACGTGACTTCTCACTTCTCATAATCGTTCGCATTTTTCTTATTAGCTCTTCTTGTCGCAAGTATTGCGAAATCGCGATGAAAACTTTCTGTAGTCGGTAAAATCCGAAAATTTGAATTCTGTACACTCTATGTGGTCTCTCCAAAAATACTATTATTAATTTATTAGTTTTATAACGTATCATATAGTTTTATATGTGAGTTAATTCGCTTTGCTTCGTTATGTCTCATTATTATTATTTATCAATCGGCGAATCAGTTATTAGACTTCGGCGCGAGAGGCTCGATTGTGGAGGGACTGGCTTTTCTTTTTGTAACTGCAACGTGATCGGTAATACGTGCACAAAATTATTTAAGTGTTTGATTTTCCAACAGGTTTAACCGATACCGGTTTGTGCAAAAAATATCTTTATATCGAATATCTTCGTAATTGTGAATATATTTATCTTTTGCGAAAAATGTTAACATTATTTTATAACGTACACATTGTGACGTAAAAATAGTAACATTTTTCTAAAGTGACATTAAATTATTACAATTTTTGTATTGCGAAAATACTGTGATTATCTAAAGTTATATCGCAAAATTTCATTAGTTTATATAATTTTATATATTATCACACGTATATTACACAAAATTATTTTTTTGTCAACAAGTCACACGATGCGAATTGTGGAATCTTGTTTCCAAAATTGTATACCGTCCTCGAAGCGTGCAATGCTAGAGTTTAAGCGAGAACTTATTTCCCGACACGTGCAGTTCACTTTTAGAAAAAAGATCGGAAAGAATAATTTATTAATCAGATATTCGTGTAATCGTTTTATGATTAGGAAATATGAGCAGGTTTTGTGAGAAAGTCAGATTAATCCGGAGTTTTTTATTTAATAATAACGTCTGCTCCCAAAAATACGGTAAAGCAAGAATTATTTCTCGCAAATCGACAATTTAATAATATCACGGCTCGAACCAGGCTGTATTATACGCGAAAGAAAAAAAAAGAATATATTGGTTCACTTAGCAAACAATTTCGTATTCTACAAGTCGCTTAAAAATTACTAGTTCTTTTATACCGTTTTTCTATCGTACATTTCTATAATTGATGAAAACGTTCTCTCTGCAGAAAAGTCAAAATTTTGTAAAATAGCTATATGCCAGTGCTGTGTAGAATTTCTACTTTTGGGCTTAACATTGAAATGTATCGGTTCATGCTGTTCTTACTCGTCACTTTATAGCTGTTTTCTCGTACGACGCTCGGTCTCAATGACGAGACAAGTCTGAGATTGTTAAAAGTTTTTTATATTCACTGTTTAAGAAAGGATATTATAGTATATTAATAATATAAATTTTTATTACTAATATTATAAAATATTTTTAATGTGTAATACATATAATACACGTAAATATCTATTATATATATATATATATATATATGTATTTTGTGCTTATATAATTATTATATATTATGTAACGGAATATATATAATTATATATATAATTAGTATTATATAGTTTGCCAAAATTGTTTTCCGCATCATTCGATGTATCATTTGAAATATTGCATATACGTTTTTTTTTTAAATTACGTCAAACATTTTTTAATAGTCTTACAAATTAGAATAATCTCGTTCTTGAGATCGAGCGTTCCATGCGAGAAAACAGCTATGATATGAGGAGTAGGAACGGCAATGTGCATGAACATATTTTAATTTGAAGTCCAAAAAATATGTATGTACAAATCTTGGACCGCACTGTATACTCTCGCGCGGCTTTGGTGGCAGTTCTCTCCAAAGTCAGCCTCTTCAGTATTGTCACGAAAAAATTCGAGGAAATCTTTCTTTTCGAACCCGTAATGATAGTTACGATTATACATATACATATAGTATATATATACATATGCAATTATATCTGTACATAATTCACGAATGTAAAGATTCTAATAAAATTTATCAATAACTCATGCGTTTACCAAAACCCTCTCTCAGAAAAGATTTCTTTTTTCTGCCGATAACTTTTTCTTGTATCTGTAAATCAATTTAGTTCAATTTAAGCATTTTATTTCGTTCACTTACCAAAGAGACTAAAATTTTTATCATATAATTCGACTGTTCTTTTTTAAAGTTTTCTCATAAGATATCTCTTCGGAACGTTCGTTTAAAAGGAAATACAAATATTTCTTATTGATTTTCATATAGAAAAAGAAAGTTTTGATCCGAGAAAGAAAAGAAAGCGTTGTTATTGTGAAACAATCCGCTGTTATTCGAAAGGAGTAACAAACGACGGAATTATGATTAACAGAGCAAAAATTAGAGAAAAATATTAGTCTATCGACACGAGAGACAACAAATAGCGCAATCTACATGGACTTCACTGTTGATTTAGAAAACAACTGTTAATGATACAGGGGACGAAAGGAAGGTTTCGCTGTACAAATGTTCACACTTGTACATATTTATCCTTTAGGTTAGTGATAAAAAAAATCGCGGCAATGACGTTGCAGGGACGTGTGTGTCAATCGAGAGAGCGTGAATGAAATAGAGTATGTGTTAAATACGGATTTATCGTTCGTTGTAATAAAAAACAAACTCCTAAGTATGCATTATAAATTCTAAATTATATTTCTACATATATATAAATATATAAATAAATAAAAATGCAAGAGTATAAATATAAATACAGATACTGTCTAAAAGCGAGGAAACAAAAAAAAATATAGAGTACGTTTTAGAGTCTTTGCGCGTATTCTCACAAAGAGTGAGAGGTGCCGCCGTATCGTGCCGTGTAGGATTGTGCCGCGATATGTAAACAAATGTAGTAATTAATAATAGTGATAATTATTAAGAGGAATTTAAAAATGTTGCGAGTCGAGCCGTCGAACTGTCGTCGAGCTATTGTATTCGGCGCGATACGGGACATTCTCTTTTGTATTATAGCATTATATATATTATACATATTGTATTACCTATGTGTTTTTGTATTTGGTAATCTAAACGAAGGAATATCTCGAATTAATGAACAGAAAAAGATTGATAGAAAGTATATTATATATATTTGAGTATAAAGCCGCCGAGGGTTGAAGTTATCCGAGACGACGACGGTAATCTTCTTCTCTTTTTCTTTTATTTTTTTTCTTCTGAAAATGAAATAAAAATAACGAAACAAACACAGAGAGAGATAGCGATTTATAATAATAAATTGTAAAGCCGAAACGGCGATTCTCTGGATAAATTCAGCACTCGTTTACTCATAACTTATTATGTTCATCGTCTGAAAGAAACAAAAAGGTACGTTCGTAAAGAAAAATAAACATAAGTATATATCAATGTTTTGTGAATTTTTTAATTGCCTTCTCCGTTAAATGAACATTGGCTGAAAAAAAAAAAATCTTCAACTTCAAGAAAATGTTAGGGCATCCTTGATCTCTATCGATTCCCTGTTTCTCCACTGGACATATCTGAAGAGACGAAATTTTCAGATGTAAATATTATAAATTAAACATATAAAAATAAGCATTTCTTAAAAACGTACAAACGTGGAACGTCTTTGATATATTGCAGTTTTTTCGGTTCCCTCGTGTTAGAATCGTGTATTCTACATTTTTCTCTCCACACTTCAGTCAAATTCAACAGGGTCGAATGATCTTGTTTTTTCGTTATTTGCGGTCTTATGATTTTTACCGTTTGAGTTTTAGCCAACCTCCGACTCGCTATTAAATTTTTTTTTCTACTTGTATATTCTGCATCTTGCTTTCTGTCAGCATTATAAGACCACAACAACTTTATATTATTATTTCTAAGATTTAGCACAATTAGCAGAAGCTACATTTATATTATAATTATTTAAGTCACTTGTTAAAATATACAAAAATTTTTTATTAGGTTGTAAAATAAATTGCAGATCAAAATTAGCTAAAAACTTTTCTCATTATTTTATTATTTAGCGTGTTATTGTCCCAAGTTCTATTTTGAAAACGGCTGACGTTACCTAAAGGCTTTGATCAATGTCGGATTGTACTTTGGTCCCCCTCTCGAATCGTCTTTCGAAGAAACTTCCATTGATCTTCTCTCACGATGTTCCGCCAAAACTTTCCGAAGCCTTTTCAATCTTTCCCTCTTACGTTTTTCTTGCGCGGCAAGCTTCGACTCCGTCAGAATCCTTAACTGCTCCTCGTCGATCGAACGTTTACTCTCTCTCTCCTCTTTCCACCGTCTTACTAATTCCTTCTTCCGATTATTGATATCAACGGGCTCGCCAGTTGTTCCCTTTTTACACTTATCCGTCACGCAAGAGGAAAGATCTTTTGTGATATCGGAGTTTCCTTTCTCTCGCGAAGTCTCTTCCAAGGTCTCGGCCCCGGTTTCATCCTCGTGATTCTTCACCTTCATCTTCTCCATTTCTTTTCGTTTGCGCCACTCTCTGACGCTCGATCGTTGCTTTTCACGCAGGCTCAGATAAACCTTGTACCAAGCCTCATGATTTACTATTGCCTCCGCTGTGAGATCCGGACATTTGACTCGAATGGCAGCCACAAGGGCAGGGATGCTGCTGCATTTCTTCCGCATTTTCAGGAACAACAGATGATCCTCGTCGCTCCAGTTATCAGTGTGGCCTGTAATGTGATTTTTTTAATCTGCATATTGATTTTTTAAATATCGCCATAGTAATTGATGGAATTGATGTATTTAATAATAAAATTATGACACAGAGCGAAAGTCTTATAAAATATGTATAAAAATGAAGTTTAAGAATATATCGAAAAAAAAAATTGAGAATAGAACATATTTATTATTTATATCTGACTTGATTGGATTAATATAAACATTTCATTAGGCGACATTTAACGTAAACATATTACGTGTTATAAAGTAACACGCAACTGTCATAAATTATATTTTATTACGCACTTTAATTGCTAACGCAGAGCGAATGCAAATGTAGTTCGGTACCTGTTTTAGCAATTAACTCGTGGAAGTTCTCGATCGCCTTATAATCACAACACTTTTTATTTTCCTTGTTAGAAGTCGCGGCGGACGTCGGTTTGCCGATGCTACCGGTTGCATTTTCATACTTATGCAAATTTGATTCAAATTCGCGTAATTCAGATTCGAGAGCGGTTTGCTCCTGCGACAGAGTCGCAGTCTGCAATTGGCAGAAGTTCTGAAAGTCCCGAATTTTTCGCGACAGTCTCACTAGCCGTTGTTTGTATGCATTCGTATCTAAATAAATCATATGTTAATTTCTTAGTTTTAAATGTCGAATTTATCTCTTTAATAATAGATGCGCATGGATTAAAATGTTAATTCTGTTTAAATAAATTTTAAAAATACAGAAGGCGCAGCATGCATAATAATATTATGTAAAAATTTTAGATGAGGTACAAAAATAATTCGAGAGAGTGACGAGAATGAAAATGAGAATAGCGTTATCAGTGGAGAACAAATGAATTACGCTAAAGAGATTTACCTAACTTCTGGATCTGCTCGGGACAATTCGTGATCGATTGTACCGATCGCAGTTCCTCCGTAATTTCCTCCAAGGGTTTTCTCATGCCATCCAGAAAAATCTGCCTTCGAAGAAGTATCGAAGTTTAAACCGCATTGCGAGAGGACGATGCCGCGTGCGGACTTGATATGCATAACGCAATCTAAAATCGACTGATTCGTTTTTCTGCTGCCTACCTGTTTTTCGAGATGTCACTCATATTATGCAAAACGGGTCGTAGAACTTCTGGTTCCAGTTTCATGTTCTCCATCAAGTTGGCGAGGCTCTTTTCCATCAAGTACTCTTGCTGCTTTAACTTCAACAGGGATTTCCTGCACTTCGTGCTTTCAGCGATGCGCACTTTCCCACCCGGCGGGATTCGCTTTTCCCTCTTATCTCTCTTGTGAGATGTAATCTCACTCATTGTACACGTATAGCTGCGATATTTTCTTCGAGGAAGCTTATTGTCATTTATTATTCTAATAAATTAATTTAACCTAAGAGTTTATGAGTTAGTAAACGCGTTGCGTCTTTGCGTAGAGAGCTAAGTTCACTGGAGTTTGTGAGACCTGACAAAGCTTTATATGGGTTTCCATAGTAATTCGCCCTAAACATCTCCCTTCCCACGGAATCGCACCTGCTGATTGAGGAAATTCATATGGAATTGCATTTAGAGTACACAAGAGGCGCAGGAAAAGCAATTCACATGTATAACTATATTTTATATGTGAAAAATAGGTATTATAAAGATATCTATATCTCTAATATATTATAAATTAGAAGTTACTGTAAAATGTTTATCACATTTAAAAAACTGATATTATACTAAATATACTTTGCACCTAAAGTGCTAATTTTTAATTAGCTTTTTAGCTATTATTTATCATTATCGTAATTGTCTGGTTATAATAATTACACACTCGCAGTCGTGCACACTTACGTTAAATATCAATGTATATAATGTTAATTATTTATTATATAAGTCATTTTAATTAACTGATTAATCATTATTTTCCACAAAAATTCCCTCAAAGCACACAAAACGCTTATAAATAATTAAAAATATATGTATAAACCATTGTTACCCGAAGTCGATTAGATTGTTGCGATGGTATTCTACAAGCACGTATTTATCGACGGCTACATAAACCCGAAAATTTTGGTCGGTAATCAATGATGCGAAATAAACAAGTAATTTCACTTTAAAGAAAATAATCACAAATGACAGAAAAAACTGCAAGAGAGACATTTATGTCTCTATCAAAACAAAAATAAGATATTTATTATTAAATTTTATATTTCTACGCAAAACATCAATACAGATTTTACAAAAAAATTAAAATAAAAATAATCTAGGTTTTATCGGGGAAAAATGACATTCCGTTAACATACATGCAAGCAAGAGAGATCTTATTGACAATGTTCATGTTTACAGTCTCGTTGTATCAACGTTATCAATGATATCGCGACGAGCGCGCGCGTTCTCCAATCTGTAGTGACCCCTCGCGGTGCGCGGCGAATCGACTCCGATTCCCCTTTCCATCCGCGGCACTTCGACCGCTTGCACTGCGGCGCATTTATACGGGCGGCCTGTCTCTAGGCGCCTCAGTCTCTGATTGGGACGCGACGCGTGCGAGTATGGGGTTTGCGCGCGTACCCCGCGAAGCGTACCGTGACAGCATCGCGCTTTGAACCGCGCTTGCGACCAACAGCAGCAGCGACGAAAAACGAAACGATCGCGCCAACGGGGAAAGAGGAAGAGCGAGAAGGGACGACGAGAGAAGACAGCTCTCTCTCTCTCTCTCTCTCTTTTTCTCTCTCAGTCTCTGTATGGCTCCTATGTATCTTTGATACATTTTCCTCCCTTTCTCTCTCTCCCTCTCGTGCGCTTCCCCTGACAACGCATCCTCCGGCGCGGAAGCGCGCGCCTGATCGCGTATGTCGCCGGGAAATCCACCGGCTTCGACAGACATTCGATTTTCCGCTCGATGAGTGAAGGATCCGCCGCGCTGCCGTGGTGACGGGTTGACCGGTGCGCGCCGCGATCGGGATCGCCTCGCCGCGCCTCGTGGTGATTCGGTGGTGGTGATTTGGGAAGGACTTCCTCCTCCCCTGGATTCGTGAGACAAGCGTAAGTACAGCTCCGAGTCGTCTTCGGTATATGCGCTTTGCTTTTGTAAACTACACCTGCGTACTACATATCATTACAACTGTGCTGCTTTCATAATGCTTGTATTGAGAACGCGATAGGCATTAGTAGGTATATTGAACGATCGACTCGCGGATCGAAGGAAATCGAGGTACGTCATCTCGAGTGACGTTGAAGGCGAAACGCTCGATTTGAATTTTAATAAGCAGGTGCATTTATGATTAGCGTATTCTGATTCGAACCGTTTTTCTTTGTGTGACGAAAGATTCATATTAGATAGAATATTATAGTATCTTTTATGTTTTGGTAGATAACAATTATTATTATACACAAGTGTTACACATATTGGATATTTAGATAAAAAGATTTTTTGTTTCTATTAATTTTTTTTAAAGGATATTTTTTGGATATTTACTAGATAGATTCTTATTTTGCGTTGTATGTAAATTCTGACACTTCTAGAAAAAAATTTCTATATCGCGCGCGTTTCTCTTTGTGACATTATATATAATGTAATAAAATTGTACGTATCTACATATGCACAAAAAATTTGATTATATTTTAATATTATCGCGACTAGAATTGTATGCATAAAATTCCTTGCGACACACCCTGTAATTAGGTAGTTAGGCCATTTAAACGAGAAAATGGAGCAGTTCAACTGCAGCAGGACATAAATAACTGATGCATCTGTTGCATTACAAAGATGACTCATGGTGAGTTTTCTTATTCAATGACACTGATAAGGAAACATGGCACGCGACATGTTAATGTTAGACTTTGACTTGAAATGGATATTCAAGATAATAATCATGCGAGTAGATATCTCGAGCTGCAGTGAAGAACGCGCGAGATAAATTCTTGGGAAAGCATTGCAATTATATATACGGAATTATCATAAAATTAGATGCATTTATATTAATTTTATCGCGCGTATGTATGTATGTGTGTGTGTGTGTGTGTGTGTGTGTGTGTGTGTGTATATATATATAATAATGTTTATATTTAAATATATAATGATGTATCATCTATCATAATATAGTACCATGTACTAATTCCACTGTAGAGGCCGTAATAGGCAATAATTAATTGCAGTCTTATTTTATATAATTTTATGCTATTATATCTTCCTATTCTGGCTACTTAATCACTCGTTAGAGTCGCTTTTACAGAGAAAGTTTCATTGTTCGAGCGATCGCAAAGAAGCTCTACTCCGTAATTATTTAATCAATTATGAGTAACAATATACGGTGATATAACAAATTATTCGTAATAAGTGGACAATGATTAATTATAAGTAATCGAAATCTTATACCATTCCGACAGTTTTCTTCGTATTGCGTTTATTTAATCGGTCGTTAAAACTTTTTACGTAAAAGGCTTCATTGTTCTGACCATTGTAAGGAAATGTCGCAGCGCAGTAATTTAATTAGAAGTCGTTGGTGCAATTAGAATTACAAGAATAGCGTGACTTTCTTTACGTTAAATAATTCCACGTGATACTAATGTAAAAGTAGATTGAGTAATTTGTTGACAAAATGCATGGTTCTCAAATTTAACGATATTTTCAAAAAGGAATCAACTGATTTCTCTCGTGATAAAAAAAAATTATGTTGACTGTGATCTTTAAGTCCTACATGTAATTATATTAAGATAAATTGCAAACTACGTATTAAAAGGGAAAGCAAGGTCGGAGATTTGGAAAAGTTATCAATCCGGATTGACGATACGCGCGATAGTTAGATCGCGCGGTTGACGAGTGTTACTCGCCCGACGGGACACGGCTCGCGCGAGTAATGGCGCGATAATTTCGCGGCGATTGAATTGCCGACGCAATTACTCGCTGGAGGCGTACACTCCTGCGAGCGAAGACGATCGAGATAAGTGGACGGAGACAAAGCGTTTTGTCGCGTGAGATAGTCAGTCACTCTCGAACTGTGTGCGACATCGTTGCGCGCGCGCGCGCGGTGTGTAGTGCAGCGCTCAACGAGATACTCCCGTCTCGACAATAAGTAATAAAACGCAGGCGTGGTGCATAATAAGCGACGCACGGCGCGATGCCCGCGCGCGTATCGCGACTACTATTGAACGGCATTGAACTTTCGCTCGATCCTTATCGATCTCGCGTACGCTACATATTGCACTTTGCTCCTTGGCATCATTTTTACGGCTGTTTGCGTAAGATAAATATTTATATGACGTATATGTGCGTGCACAAGCGGTTTTAGTGAAAGATAATATGAGTTTGATCCTAACAAGCATCACTTCTTTGAATGGTGATTGAAAAAGATCGTAGGATACTTTTCATATCCCACCTTTCACTCGATTGATCGCCATAAAAATTTTAATATTTTAATATTGCATTACTTTAATGTCTGAATTTTAATATCTATTCAATTTTACACGTCAATATATTTGATCTATGTGACGAAAATACATATAAATGATGTAGAACAGGTATATAACTTATTTTTACGCTTTGAGTATCTAATATGCCGGCAAAAGCGTACGTTGTCACGTATATCCCACGGAATTGAAATTATCTGCGCGACAAAACGCAATATTCGCCGCACTATTGCTGCTCTATCAAATTCAGTATAGACGAATTGTCGCGTCCCGATATTGCGCGATGGATCGCCGCGTATTGCGCGAGCATCGCGGCTTCGGAACACCGTGCTGCTCGTTACGGCTGTTCTCTACGGTTAAAAGTGAATGGGGAACCCGCTCATTCATAAGATTTTCTTCCGAGGGGGGCAGCGACCAGCCGCGCGCGTTCCCTGCCTGCTCGCCGTCCAGTCTCGCTCGCTTCGGCGCAGCGCCGAGCGTGCGCGGAGGATGCGCTTTGCGGCGACTGGACATGCAACTTATCATGCTCACTAATGCGAGAGTATCTCTCGATCGGAGGACGATGCTCGCGAAAACGAGGGTCTCGGGATAAATATTTATATCTCTGCGCGCGCGCGCGTGTTTCGCTTCGCTTCGCGTAAACGAGTTTCACGAAGGACGAAAAATGAATAACTATGTATTTCATGTTTGTAACAGCGTGCGTATTGAAGAGTAACGACGCTATTAGTTCGTTATCTAACTTTCCAGACATTATCGTAGACCCTCCGTGTCGGGAATGTATCAACGACTTCTCTGTGCACGCGTATAACGGGAAATTGATTACACTATCTCTCTGAAAAGTTTAACGGAATTGCGCCTGTAATCTGAGCGATACGACTTCTAAACAGAAGTTGAACACTAGAAGTAGCATGTAATGTAGAATTAATTAACGCTGACATATATATATATATATATATATGTATATATATATACGGCGAAATGATGAACGCTGTATAAACACGTTAACTGCACAAAAACATGGGAGTCTAATAACCGGCTGACATATTCGGAAAATGATTAACTAACAACCGACTCGAGCCGGCTTTATCTCGTCGTTGTGTGTTCGGGAATATAATATCAAAATAAAATCTCTAAAATGTACGGCCGCCACGTTAATGCAATAACAAATCATTGCCAAGATAGAAAGCGAGAGAGAGAGAGAGAGAGAGAGAAACGTATTGGATTTATTTCACAGAGAAACACGCGCGGGCGTTTACGCGGTTTGTAAAGGTTTAACATTGTTAAAAAAATGCGACGATAACGTGGCCGAAACATCTCTCTCGTTAATCCCATCTCTCGCTCGCGCGCTCGACGCCCCGGCAGATTGCAATGTATACCGAACGTCACGATTAATGAACGGCTGTCAACGGCGTTGCATCGCCGGAAAATCAGTTGCACGTATATAGTCGCGGGCTATATGCCGCTGTCGAGAGATGCGTTTGGCGAGAGACGTGCGCTCGCTGCATCGGATTAAGTTGGATTTCAGTGCGTATGCGCGTGTTTTGATATTCCGATGACAGGCACTATCCTTAGAGCAATCAAGAAGCGTGTAATTTTTGCGAGGGGGAGGGAGGGGGGGGGAGAGAGATTATAGACGAAAACCGAATCGCTGCGTTTCGAAAGTATATACGCAGAGGGTGCCCGCCGCCGGGTGGAGAAATTATTACGTCGGAGACGCGACGGAGCTTTAATTTCGAACGAATTTTTTACCTTGTTTACGGATTCTCCGGTCAATTTGGCATTGAAGTTTCCCCGACGTGATTTAGGGTCTCTCGCAGTTGGCGGAACTTTATATATTCGCGTGTTCTCGAGATTCACAGCCTCGAGTGTGGAACACGCCGCGATTGTCAATACGGTTATGGAAATGGACCTCCACGAAAGGGAGGAGAAAAAGGAGCAGACGCAAGACGCGTGGGGGAGGGCAATAAGTCCGGCCGAGGCGGGAGGTGATCAATCTCGGCGCGCTCGAAGGTAACTTTACGGGCCGGCGCGTAATGATAAACGACGTCGGAGCCGGTGCTCCGAACGCTTATCGGGCCGTAGCGCGTAGAGATATCGTGTTTCTCGTTGCCGTTGCAACGCGCGCGGGCCATGCGCGACCATGCGCGACGCGGATTTGCATTCGCGCTCGGCTACGCGCGCGGGCGTATAGCCGGGCCCGGCCCGGCCGAGCGGCGCGGCTCGTCGCGCCGTTCCCGTCGCGTCGTCATCGTCGTCGTCGACGTCGTATAGGAACAGGTTCATTCCGTTCGCGCGAAATGAATGAAATCGTTAGGCGTTACGAACACGCCGACGCTGCGCCGGATCGTTTATCGGGCCCCGGTATCAGTGCGCGTTCGAGCGCAATTATGCGTCGCGTAACTCGATGCGCGTTGCGCGCGCGAGAGGGAACAGGCGCCGGCTTACACATCCGGTTTCCCGGATACACGAGCGCCCATCGAGATGACTGTCCGTTGAGCGCGACGCTGCAATATCGATCGCTCGTTACTAGAATCACAACTTAATTTTTCGATGATTATACGACAGGTACACTGAGAAAAAAAGTTGTTGAAACAATTAAATGCGTTTTATTGACATTTTTCTTTGGTTCAATTATA